TCACCATGAATTAGTCTAGACCTATATTTCTGGCCATCATTCATTCTCAAGTACAATGAATCATGAAAGTCTCAAATCTTGGGATGATAGCACTGGTTTTCAGTTAGTTATTGTTTTGTTTCATTGTTTTGAGACAGGATCTGGCTATGTAGTTCAGACTGGCCTTGAACTAATTTGCAGCAATCCTTCAGCCTTCTGAGTGCTGGGATGACAGGCCTGCACCACATGTCTGGCTACACAGATTTGATGAGTGGGGATGAAGTGCTGCAGCTGTCCACTTGAGGGTTGTACTAGCATGTTGTAAAAGCCCATTGTCATCATCATTTTCTTGTTGCTGGGACACAATGCCGGATACCAACAAATTAAAGAAGGAAAAATTTATTTTTGGCTCAAAGTCTGAAACAGTCCAGATTCGGGGCATCAAGGGAGGATGGCATGGCACGGGCATGGCAAAGGAATACTTGCTTACTGTTTGGTAGCAGAGAGAGTCAAGGGAGGAGGTGGGAAGAGATGGAACCTTGCACAGTGACCCATCTCTTGCATTCGGGCCCCAGCTCCTAACAGTAGGCCAGCCATACCATAATCCAGTCACTTCCCAAAGGTCGCACCTGTGATCCCTTGGGGCTTCAGGGGGACATCTATATAAAAACCCTAACCAGAGTTTTCCTCAGTCAGCTGAACTCCCTAGGAGAGACAAGTGGATGGGGTGACAGGAGTTGATGGCAAGGAATCAGCCATCTGCAAGGGCCCTCTGCCATTATCATTTTAATCTATGCTACTGTAGTTTCTGTTTTCAACAGAATGGACCCCTGCATTCTTTCCCTCCTATCTCCAGTTCATGACTGCTTTTTGCCTGAACCAATCTTTTAAAACACAAATCTAAGCATACCTGGCCTCCCTACTTATAAAAGCACTTGTTTGGCTCTTAGGCTCAAGATTGAGATCTTAACTGCTGGTCTCATTTCTCAGAAAGTCTGTGATTGTTCTTGATCCCAGGCTCATAACCTTCAGTCTGTTACTGGGCTGTACTACAAGACACAAAATATCATGAGGGGACCAGCAGTGACGGTGGATACCTTTGTTTATTGCCTAGGGAAAGATATTGTCAATGAACAGTGTGCTCTTTCTCTTCCTTTTTCTCCGTGACCTCTTGTATACTTGTATACCATGTTTACCTCTATAGTCCCTGTACCTAGGGAATTTGTTTTTTTCCCTGTGTTTGCTTGATTAATGCATTTTCCTAACTAGGTCCTTAGTCTAATTCCAAAGGACAGGAACTATTTGTTTTGTGCTCGGTCCTAGGGACATGCTTGACACTTGGGGTCAATCACATTTGTTGAATAATGTGACCATGCTTGGCTTATGTTGTCCTTTTGCATAATTTTGTGTTTATGCTCTCCCAAGATGACAGCAATACATAGTCACTTAAGAGCGGAATGTCCTGGGCTGGGGATTTAGCTCAGTGGTTCCACCGCCCGCCTCACAAGTGCAAGGTCTTGAGTTCAATCCCCAGTACAAAAAACAAAACAAAACAAAAACATAGAGTTTAAGGTCCTTTAGGTAACACATGGTTTGCTTCCACAGTGCTGAGTGGGGTTGGCCTGAATGTACCCACAGACACAATCCCAGCATGCACTTTCTCTTCAGAGACCTGAGACTGTATCTGAATCACAGATAAAGAAGTTCCTGCTAAGCGTGACCTCAAACCCAGAATTTACAAAGGAACAGAGAGAGATATGGGTAACACATTTTAGGTTTAAGATATGTGCTAGGGGAAATTTTGCAACACAAGGCAATAAATAAATGAATATATCTAGCACATTTGTACTGGTAACAATTGGGCAGAGAGCCCAAAGAAACATTTCACAAAGTGAAATATAAGTGGCCAATAAACATGTAGATGATATTTGTTTCTGAACTAAAGATGCAAATTACAACAGCCATAAGAGGTTACTTTTTATACATTGATTAGCAAAGATATGAAAGATTGCTAATACCCAGGTATGGTGAGAATGGAAAAGGCAGTTGTTTACTATGAGGATAGAAACTGGTTCTTGTACAGAGGTAATGCAGGTAATAATAAAAGTACACAAAAAGTGGTGTGTACATTTTGTCCCCAAAGTTTCATATCTTGAAAATGATTCTAAGGAGATAAGACTAAATAGAGATGATGTTACGGAAGGAATTGGCAAGTGACACACAGAGAGGCAGCGGAATGGAAGTAAAATAACAAAAGTTTACTCCTTCGATGGGGATCAATCACACCTAATGGCAGTGCCCTGATCATTTGTGTACTGGCCTACAACTCCCCTGTTTATAGGGTTTTACAGCCTTGATCTCATTCAGGTGGTTACACTGCATTTTCACAATTCACATTGCTTATATTCAAAACATGGTGGTGAGGTAGTTGAATTTCAACCCTGATGTAGCACTTCTTTGGTAGGGGAGGTTACCTTTAAGATTCATTTATCTATTCTAGCCAAGGGGAAGGGGGCATGTTTGGTCAGCAAAGCTAACAATGGTTCTCATGTACAAAACTTCTGAGGGAGACTAGATGCCTCTGGTGTCTGTGTCGGTTAATTCTGAACTAAACAGAGCAAAGGGCAGAAGTTATCTTACATTGTGACATTTTGTAGGGTTTTTGCTATTAAAATGTTCTCTATCAATATAACTAAATAGAGAAGTAAGGATTTTTATTCTTCACAACATTGTTGATAATAGTTGTTGGTTTTTGTTTTTTGTGGTGCTGGGCATCAAACCCAGGGCCTTGTATGCACTCTAGGCAAGTGTTTTATTCACTAAGCCGCACTCGTAGGCCCAATAATAGCTGTCGAAAAAAGGGAAGAGTTGTATCTAGAAAAAAGTGTCATGTAATGCTTAGCAATGATGGTAGATAATCTTTATTTATTACCCTGGAAAGGTTATCATTAAAGGAGCAATCAACGCAGGTTACAAAGCAGTATATGATGTTCCAATCAGCTGTATCTGTTTTTGTATATGTGCACAGAAAGGCTTGGAATGACGTATAATGTCAATAGAGTTGAGTTGTGGACTTGAAATTTCAGTCATTAGTCATAGGACCATTCATGTAATTGTCTTTTCCTCAGTGACTGAACTTACTTAATCTCATTTGCTCCCAAACATAAACTCAGTTTTTTCTTGCTTAATACTCGGGCTCCCTTGAGTCACTAACTGCTGAATCCTCCTCCTCTTTTCCTTGGGGATGATGTATAAATTGCATTCTTGTGAAATATGGTGCTATGCTGTCCTTGATCCCCCAAGTCTGGATGGAGGTGTCACTTGTCTGGATACTGCCTTCTTGTGGCCACATTGCCACGTGTGTCTGATGTCTGCTCATTACGAGGTCGTGAAATCTTTCACTGCTTTGTCCCCAGCCATGGGCTCTCATGTGTCCACTGTCTCATGCAAGCCACAGGATGCTAAACACTTTTCAGGGACCTTCTTTGTCTCGTGGGAAGCTACCTTCTGCCAAGGCTGTCCTCTAATCAGCTGGTCCACTCAATTTTCTTTGAGCGAAGCCTCTTCCCTGTCATTGTCACTCTTTCTGGGGGGGATAGATGACTCCCTGCCTGCAAGCTCTGGCTCTTCATCTTCCCGACCAAGTCGCTGCTGCTTTTTATATAAAACACCAGTTCCTCTCAGAGACCTGGTTTTCGTAATGGAAACAGTGGCTTTTAAATGACAGTCTGCATATACATTTACAAAAGCCTACTGAAGAGTTCAAAGGCAGAGGCCAAGGATTTTTGTCTCACCTTTAGGTCAAGAGCAGGATGGGCAGAAAGCTTGCTGCCTTGTTTTCTGGATGGTGAGGGTAGAGTTGGAGGGAGGGGAAAGCACTGAGAAGCCCCGTGTTGTGTGTCAAAATACACATCCTGATAGAGTTCTCTCCTGGGACTGGCAGGACTGTGGATGATTGCTATTCCTTTTTTGTGTGTAGTTTCTGAATTTTCTGCAATAGTCACATATTCCATGTTGGGGTTTTTTTTTTTTTTGGTTTTTTTTTGGGAGGGTACTGGGGATCAAACTCCGGTCCTTGAGCTTGCAAGGCAGGCCACTGAACTGCTGAGCTAAATCCCCGGCCCTATTTTGTTTTGTTTTGAGACAGGGTCTCACTGTGTAGCTCAGGCTGGCCTTGAACTCACCACACAGCCCAGGCTGGCCTCAAACTTGTGGCGATCCTCCTGCGTCTCCCTCTTAAGCTAGGATTACTGGTGTGCCACCACAATGCCCAACACATATTACTTTTATGTTAAGAAATATGACAAAATTTCTCATAAAGGGATATTTCCATGAATTTTGGTCTTTAGAGCTAAAGGTGTGTATGAGCCAACTTTCCTGTTGCTAAGACACAATACTTAGCATCCACAACTTAAAGGAGCAGTTTAATTTGGCTCACATCCGCAGAGAATCATTCTGTGGTTTGTGGTCCATGGTCAGCTGGCTCCAGCATGGTGGGACGGCGTGGCGGAGCACAGTTGCTTCCCCATGGTGCTGGGGAAGCAAAGCAGGGGAACAGTGCCAGAGAGGAATGGGGTAGGGACCAAATGTGGTACCAAAGGCCATACCACCAAGGGCCACCCAGACACACCAGGGTATGCAGTCCTAATCTGCTAGGAGTCTCTTAATCCAACGAAGTTGACACATCGGGATTAACAGTCATCAGGCGTGTGTGCTTGTTTATTTAGAAGTTTTGGTGGCCTCACGCCATCACAGCTCTCTTTGGGAGAGGATAATGGGTAGGAGGCCCAGCCAGCTGCAGGCAGTTCTGAGGGGAAGGTGACACTCCACTCTGCCAAGTGACAGGGTGAGGTGGGTCCCGGCCCAGCTGGCTCCAGGGTGAGGCTGCAGCTCCTGCCACACCTTAAAATATAATGTCTTCTTTTTTTTGCAGGAGCAAACAGAACTTTATTAGCATGATACAGGCACTGTGTTACGTAGAAACTTGGCATGTGTTGCCCCACCTGAGCTCTGAGCAGTTAAATCATAGGAGAAACAGTCACCACTGGAATTTCATGCAAAGGTTGGCAAATTCACCTTAAAAAAGATTAAAAAAAAAAAAAAAAAAGGAGCTGGGTGTGTTGGTACACGCCTGTAATCCCCAGGAGTTAGGAGGTTGAAGTTGGATCACCTTGAGCTCAAGACCAGTTTGGGCACCCTCCTAAGGAAAACCCAGAAAGAAACCCAGCTGCCCCTTCTTGATTTGCTGGGGATTGAACCCAGAGCTTTGTGCTTGCTATGCAAGTATTCTACCACTGAACTACACACCTAGCCCTTAAAATCTACTTTTTGTATCTTAATCAAGCAACAGCTCTCAAGCAGCCGAACATTTCAAATCCGGACTTTTGACCAGCCTCCTTCCCAGCATGTCGTGTGCACCTCTCCCCACACCAGGGATTTCCTGATTTTTTGAAAAAGCCTTATTTAAGAATTTCAGGTTTACCTTTTACAGTACTTTATGTTCTCAATTTTTATTCTTCGAGGTTTTAATTTTGCAAGCATATTAACAAAAAACCATAACAGTCTCACTTGAGTGCAACGGAGTTGGTAGGAGGCCAGGCTCAGCCTCTCCCCACCACCCTGCTGGAGCAGGGCAGTTTCTCCTCAGCCTGGCCCAAAGGCTTGGGAGCCGGGCCGGATGCTGGTGGGTGTGACTACTCTGGTGCAGCCTCTTCCAGGGTACAGAAGTGGCCCTAGTGCCATGGATAGAGCTGCACAGACAGGGCTGACACATCTGAAGGCGCAGGCTGGGGCTTGTGATTCCCTAGTGTGAGTTTCTATGAGGAAAAGGACCGGGGAGGGCAAGTGTGGACTGTGAGGCTCCTTTTCAGTGAGGGCAGTGGGCCTCGGGCCATAGGTGAGAGCTCAGGAGGGCCAGAGCCCTTGTCACTCAGCCGCTGTGCTTCTCAGGGCTCCAGGGAAGGCCTGACTCCTTCCCCTCTGGGGAAGCGGTAGTCCTGGCTGTGCATGAAGGGAACGGGGTCTCCCTCTTGTCTATAGCCCTGGCTGCTAGAATGTGGCCTGGCTCAGGCACTCACTGAATTTTTGAAAAGTGAATGAACAAATGACTAAATGAAGGCCCTATCAAGGGGGCTGGCTCTGAGCAGATTTATACAGTGGACACAGTTTGCTCTGAAGGCCACTTCAAGACCACTCTTGCTCTGTCCTTCTGTCTCAAGGTCATTTCATGGTCCCCAGGACTGCTCATGGAATCTGCCTCTGAGCCAACCTTCTAGCCCAAGGTGCTACTCTGACCTAGAAGATGAGGATCAAGGTGACAGAAGTGGGTGTCAGGAGGTGGAGTTAGATAGCAGTGCTATTCTTGACATCTGAGGAAGAGACAGCTTTGGACAGTGAGCCTGATTTCCCCTGAGGTTCAGGAAACACTGGCCATCCTTGACCTGAACACAACTGGTCTGGAAGGTAGACAGTCCCAAGGGGGAGGAGGGTGACCAGGGGTCTGAATCAGGTCTGAATGAGGGGCTGGGACAGGGTGAGGAGGAGTCTCTGAGGGGAGGGGAGAGGTCAGGGTCGGAGGAAGGGCTCTTTCCTGATGGTGCCACTAGAGGCCCTCAGGAACCCAGAGCTGTGCCTGAGGAGATAGGATGGGGTGAGATAGGATGCAGCAGCCTCTGCAGAGAGCCCCCATTCCAGCTGGGAATAGGAGTGCCTCCACCCTGACCAGTAAGGACCTGTCCCTCCTCAACCCCCCAACTGGGGCCAGGACTCACCTGGAAGCTGAGCTCTCATCAGAACTCAGGATCTGGAAACACTGGAGAGGGTTGGACCCAGCCTCGCACACCCCCAGCGCCTGCCAGAGGGACAGCATTAGGGCTGCAACTCCCAACTCCCAGCTCTGAGGGGGACACAGAGGCTCCCCAGAAAGGACAGCTCTCATTGTGCCTGCCACCTGGTGGGCACTCTTGGTATGACCTTATCAACTCCTACTGCCATTCCAGCACTACTACATCCACTCTCTGTCCCCTGTCCCCACCCTAGACACACACTGCCAGTAGACACAGTCCCATCCCACAGTGGGCATCACGCCGATCCCATCAGGCTGCCCCTACCCTCCCATGCAGCTCCTTTTCCTTTCTGTGGTGACGGTTTCTCTCCCTGTGACCAAGGTCTTTGCTACATGAAAACATGGAGGGAGCCTCCTAATACCAGGTCCAGGACAGTGAGGGCCCTGAGGGTCACAGGCCAGAGGGGTCAGTGTGGGAGCTTAGGGGAATCCTAGAGGGTTGGTACCTGGCAGGTGGTGCGGACATTCTTGCCTTTGGGCACCAGGGCCAGCAGCTGGGGCAAGTACTGTTCCACAAATTGCTCACACTGAGGAAAAACAGACAGGGTGAGTGGACTCAGGCTTTTCATACCTTGATGTTCTGCCTCTCTGCCTATCAGGGTCATTCTGGGCTCCTCCTGGACCTGTGATGAGGGCCCAGTCATCAGCCCTATGAGCAACTCTGAGTGAAATTAAGACAAATCTGAGGGGCTGCATGGCAGGGTTTCTGTGGAAAAGCCAAGAGCTGTTTCCCTGGAAGAGACTCAGACTCAGTCAGCTTTCCTTCCTCAGGGCATCATCTTACTTCCTCTTCTTTTCCTTTTTTTTTTTTTGAGACAGGGTCTCTCTATGTAGTTCAGGCTGGCCTTGAACTCATCACGTAGCCCAGGATGGCCTCAAATTTGTGGTGATTCCCCTGCCTCAGCATCCTGAGTGCTGACATTATAGTTGTGTGCCACCACACCAAGCTTTTTTTTTTTTTTTTTTTTTTTTAAATTTAGTTTTTGGACTCATTATGTAGCCCAGGCTGGCTTTGAACTTGTGGCCTCCCGAGCCTTAGTGCCAGGATTACAGGTAGGTGTTACCATACCCGGCTCACCATCTTGCTTTCAAAAGGAATTTACTATCATCAACTGAGTATTGGCAGGGCCTCTAAGACCTTCAAGCCCAGCCTACTCCTTTTGTAAGTAGCCTCATCCCAACCAAGTCATACTGTGAGAAGGGTAGGGCAGGGATAGGACCAGGACTCTGGAAAGAAGGCCAGGCTGTTCCTGGCTCCAGCTATCCCTGGCCTTACACTTCTCCTGGTATCTACTGGGCACTGCTATATACCACCCACCACTGGGAAGGCTACCATGGGGCAGAGATCTGGGCCTCAGGCACAGCCAGCACCTCCTGGAGCAGAGGCAGAGAGAGGGCAGCATGAGTCTTTCCAAGATTTGCCACGACTCAGCCATGATGGAGGCCTGCTGGTCCCCAGGTCCCCACAGCCTGAGTCTGGACTGACTCCTGCCCCTCGCAGTCCTGCAGTAGCCTGGCCACATCCTGCTTGGCTGTGTCCGGTGTGCCTGGCCAGGCTCTAGTCCAGCCGCCCTGTGTGTCTCTGGCTCAGCCTTTTCTACCCCTGCCCACCACTGTGGTCAGACCTTGGGTCCCACTTCTCTGTGTGTTCGCCCTGCACCTTTTGCCTGTCCAGCGGGAAACTAAGGCAGGCCTGGCGCATGGCCTGTGGCCTGGCCTGCTCACTGCTGTTCCAGGCCTGCGTGGTCACAGACATGCAGAGGTGGCATTCCGAGTTCTTCGACAGCCATTCTTCTGGCAGGGACAGCACTGGGAGGACTAGAGAGAAAAAGGGTCGAAGCTATCCTGTGGAAATGTCCTGCTCCTACCCTACCTGCACTTCACCGGGGGGACAGGGAGCAGGAGAAGGTCAGGCACGGCAGGGAGGAGGAGGTGGGCAGGAGCGGGTGGCAGCAGGCTCACCTGGGCCGGCGCTGTTCTCCATGGAGCACCGGAGGACGAGGCCGCATACCAGCTGGGGCAGCATGCGGCTCATGAGTGCATCCAGCAGGAGGACTGTGTAGCGTTCCGCCAAGCACTGGCAGATGCCACCCGCCACCAGGGGCACCACGTGGCACACCTGGGCCACAGCCACAGCCAGCACACCCTGGGGCAGGGGTGGAGAGAGGGCAGATGGGACCTTCCCTTGGCAAGGCTCCTCTTTGTGCCCAGCACCTGCTGTATACTTTGTTTATTTTGGAGACAGGATCTCACTATGCAGCCCAGGCTGCCTCATACTGGCAGTGATCGTCCTGCCTCAGCCTCTGGAATGCTGGCATTATGGGTGTGCACCACCATACTTGGCTCATCGTGGCACTTTTGTACATTCACCCTTGTTCCTTCCAGCAGGGACAGAGGCCTGTTGCTTGCAGATAAGGACACGGAAGGGCAGGGAGACTAGAGGACTAGAGGATGTCAGACACACCAGAAGTTGCTGACTGGCCGCAGCAGCTGGCAGCGGACCCAGGTCTGGCTGCCCAGGCTCTAGGCTCCCTGGCATTGGCACAGCTGGGCCAGAGCTGGAAGCAACAGCCAAGTCTACTCCTTCTGACCCAGGGCTCCCTCTACATCTCATGGCCCAGAAGAATGACAGGTGGCTCCTACTTTTGGCTGCTGGAGCCAACGTGTCCCTGGTTCCGGGAAAGCCAGCAGTTTCCCTGCCTCGCCCCAGTTCCATCAAAACCTCCAAGCCAGAGGACAGCAGAGAGGCAGCAAGCATGTGGCTTCGTCCCTCCAGCCTTCATCCCTCCCAACATGTGTCGGGCTGGTCCTGCGCCAGGGCTGGAGCAAGGCGGCGCTCAGCAGCACATGCTCCTTTAGGGTTCATGTCACCCCTGCTTGATACCCACAATGGTCTCCTCTCCTGCTGCGACATCAAAACCCGGGCTGTCACTAGTGCGCAGTCCCAGCCGCCCTCCTCCTCCCCTTGGGGAACAGCTTCTCGGCGATGTGGGCAGGACTTGCTGCTCTGCTTCACTGTCTCCCATTGTCCCCAGAACCTGCTCCCTTTGGGCTTCTTATTTTTTGCTTTGAGACAGGGTCTTACTGTGCAGTTCGGGCTGGCCCTGACCTCTCAGAGATCCTTCTGCCTCAGCCTCCAAAGCACCACCAAGCCCAGCTCCTGTCTCCACCGCTGCCTCCAAACAGCTCTCAGGTCACCAACAACCTCTTTCTTGCCACACCCTCTGGTCATCTCTCACGTTGCCTGATCGCCGGCAGCTTTGGCCCACGTGAATGCCCCAGCTCCGAACACCTTCCCCGGGCTTCTGTGTTACCGCGCCATAGTTCCCCACCTCATAGCTACCCCTCTTGCTGCTGCTCCCCTGTGCCTGCCCGCGCCTCCTGCTGTGCCTGTCCACAGGTGCCTGACCCGTGCTGTGCTCGAGCTGGTCTGTAGCTAATGATGCGCAGCAGATCGCTGGTGTGGCCCCGTCCCCAGGGCTTGATGTCTGGCCCCCCACTTGACTTCTCTCCTCCTGGGTGTGGCACAGGCAACTCCAGGTTGACACAGCCCAGAGAGAACTCTCTGCTTACCCTCTTGAACCTCATTCTTCTCAAATGCCCTACCTCTGCTGGGGGTGCCCAGAGACCCAGAGTCTATAGGGGTCATCAGGATTCGTCTGCTGTCCTCACTCCCCAATCCCATTGATCACCAAGTCCAGCCAAGCCCACCTTCCCATGTGTCCGCCCTCTCAGCTCCACCCCTGCCCCACACCTCGCCTACCAATAGGAATCTCCTATTAATCTCGCTTTCATCCTTGCCCCTCACCTGCCCAGTCTGCCCTGCAAACAGAAGGAGCCATCTTCCCCCGCTTGAAATGCTGCAATAGCTGTAAACTGCATTCAGAACAAAACAGTGTTTCTTTTTTATTTTCCTTTTTGTAATACTGCAGACTGAATCCAGGACCTTGCATGCTAGGCAAGCACTCTACCACTGAGCTACATCCCCAGCCCTTCTCATTTTGATCCAGGCCCATGGCCCATCACAGCCTTGTTGTCCCTGGGTCTCAGCTGAACTGTCACCTTCTCAGGGGCTCTCCCGGACCCACCGGCTTCACCCCCATCACTGTCTGTCACCTTGTCCCATGTGACCCTCTGCTCTGGCACGGTCTCGGGCAGAGCAGCGATCTCGTCCAGGGCTGTGGATGCTCAGTGACCAGGTGTCCTGTGGGATCCCACTTGGGCAGGGCAGAGGGGCTCCCTGGGCAAAGGCCACTGCAGATCGGGGGCCCAGAGACCCAGATGTGCTGGACACGGGCAGCAATGGGAAATCTACCTGTGGAAAGGCTCTTTTGGAGACATTAAAGCACCTCCTCTGTATAATGGATGTCAGGAAATGGGAAGCGAGTGTTCAGATGGGAAGGGGACCAGGGGAGGAGGGAGGGAGAAAGGAAGGAAGGGACAAGAAAGAAGTGAAAATAGAAGGAAAAAAATGGAAACAAAGCTTCTGTACATGGGGAGGGGAGGGGGCTGAAGGGTAGAAATGGGATAAAATAAAATAAAATGTACAAAATAAATAAATAAATATTTTAAAGAGCATTTCTTCTTCAGAGTCACCTGGACTCCTCAACCAGGGACAGAGTCCAGGCTCATCTGGTCTTACACGCTGGCACCTGGCCCATGCCTGGCACAGCAAGGCCTCAGTGCTCACTGAGTGAACTCTGGGCTGGAGCCTCAGGGCGCCCTGGGAGGTCACAGTGCGCCAGCCCTGACGGTGGGAGCTGGAGCGGGGAGGGGAGGTGTGGGGCGCCTGCTGAATACCTCACCTTGGGAATCATGGCTTGGACCCGCTTGAGCAGCGTTCTGCAGAGCCAGCAGAAGGGCAGCGGGATGGGGAACTGCTGCTCGGAGAGATCCTGCGGGACGGAATGAGGTAGGAGCTGGGCCTGGCTAGAGAGGCGATGGTGTCCTCACAGGCCAGATCTCCACCTCTGCTTCTCACCCTTCTCATTTAGGCCAGGCTGGAGCTTCAGGTCCCTTCTGGCACTGCCTCTCCCGGGACCCAAGTGTGCCTGGCTCCCAGTTGCCCTTCTACCCTCTGGCCACGGGGGCTACCTCACCTGGGTGTGAGGCCCAGGCCACACTGAGAGGTCCCTCTGCAGTCTGGGGAACACCAGCTTGTCCGGCAGAGGCTCTGACAGAGAGTAAGGCAGAGGGTCCCGCGTCCCTGGCTCCGTCTCTGGCTCCAGCTGCCCGCGTCCACACAGGCCAAGGTTCTGGCAGATGTACTTTGGGGTCTAGGAACAGTGCAAGTGCGGGGCCATCAGAGGCCCCTGGGATGAGGGCCACTGTCTTTGGGTGTGGAGTGGAGGGGGACAGGAGGGGGACGTGGTGGGGGACAAAAGGCAGAGGCCAAGTCATGTGGGGACTTGGGGTAGCTTTGTAAGGGTGTGTGTGATGAGCATGGGCACCGGTATGAGAGTAAGTGTGAGCGTGTGTGCCCTCGGGTTGGAACTGCTGACCTGGTGGGCACTTGGTTTCCTGGGCCAGTTGTGGGCAGGGTGAGTGTGTGTGTCTGTCTGGGGTGTCGTGCCTGTGTCTAATTGGTATGGGGCACATGTGCATGTGTGTGTAACTGCTGCACACACGTCATTCTGGTCCTAGAGTGCTTGTGATCTGTGCAGGTAGGCAGGTGGGCTCAGGCTGGGAACCCTCACAGTGTGGTTCTGGAAGTAGTCGATGATCAGAGGGAAGCCAGCTTCTAGCATGCGGTAGCACCGGGGCACAAGCAGCTTCAAAGGGAGGACGTCGCACTCATGCTCCAGGAATTTCCGAATGGTTTTCTGGGGGAACAGGGGGGACGTCAGCCTGGTCTGTGCCTGACCCTCTCCCTTGATGCCAGGCTGCCAACAGTGTGGACTGGCACTTGGATTAAGAGTGTCACGGGTCACTCTTAGCTGGGCGCATGGAGGACCTCTCCTGCTTCAGCCGGACACCTGTGGTGAGCTTACTCCCAGGACCTGGACCTGGCCAGGAGCAGATTGGAGTCCCAGGCCCCACCTGTCCCTCTGCTCTGTCCCTCATCTATTGTTCCCCAAACTTCAGCCAGGATCTTGGCTTCATCACCTGCAAAATGGCCTCCTTAGCCACCTTTGTGAGGATGCGGACGATGTCCTCACATTCTTGGCACAGGTCATCCTAGAGGGGGGCCAGGTGGAGGCAAGTTAGCGGGGCCTTCTCGGGCACAGGCTGATCGGGCTGTCCAAGGGGTGAGCAGCTGCCCACCACACTGTCCTCCCCACCCACCCCCATCCCGTTTGGTGTCATCTTAGTCCATCCATCCTACCTTATCCAATGCTGGTCATTGTTTTATCCATCTCCTCTGTTCACCCATCCCACTCCTCCTCTGTGGGGGCTACCATCTCTTCAGGCCCACACAGAGCCCATCCAGTGCCCTTGGGTGGTACTCACAGCTCTCACGTATCCCCAGACTTCTTGTAGACAGTGTCCCAGGGCTCTGCACTGCACTGCTTGCTCCAGGCTTTGGCACCAGAACTTGGGACCCTGGGTACAGGCCAGGGATGAGGCGGTCCAGAGAGCTAAAGTTTGGGGCCAGAGCAACGTTAGTCAGGATCCAGACGAGGCAGCTTGATTTCACCCAGCCCCAAATTCAGTTTGCTGGAAATGCAAACACATAAGAGCTCTGGGTTTTCTGCCCCAGTTCCTGCCAGCAGTGTGACCTCTGAGCCTCAGATGACTTTAAAATGAGCATTATGTGCGAACCTGGGGTGACTGGGCACAGAGCTCTGTGCGTGGTGAAGATACCTCTGAGAGGGAGGCCAGGGCAACTCACCAGCAACAGCACCACATAGCGTGGGCAGCAGAAGCAGCCAGGGCAGAAGGTGTGACTTGGCCATGACACCGCTGCAGCTGGGTGCCCAGGGCGCCCAGGGTCTCTTATAGCTGGGGCAGGGCTCCATGGAGCCTGTGACCTCAGTGTTTGCCTTCATCCTGGAGAGCCCTCCAGGTGCTTTGGTCCCACCTCTTCTCAGCAGACACCCCTGCCGCCCTCCACTGCCTGGCGGTTGGCCTGTCTCACTCACTTAGCCATTGCCCTAACTCCCAAGGGCCAGAACTTGCGGCTCCCTTCCATCAGAGAGCTTGGTCCCAAATCTCGGGGTGGTGGGAGGTAAACTGAGGCAGGGCCAGGGTTGGGGAGCAGCCAGGGTGATTTCCCCCTGGCCGCACCCAACATCTCCTGGCCTCCTTTGCTCTTGAGCAATGCTCTTAAGAGCTTCCTGCCTGGCTCTTGATCCAGGCTGAGCACAGGAAGGGCAAACCTGGGACCCTCTGGAGCTCCTCCTGCCACTTCCTTGCCTTTTCTCCTCCTAGAAAAATCCTCTGCTTCTATGGACACGTGGTTGACATTTGTCAGAAAAGTGTTTGTAAAATAACAAGAGAACAAAGTGCCCTGAAAGTCTGACAGGGATGTGAGTGACAGCTGAGATCACGGTGGCCCCGAATGACTCTCAGCTCTATCAGAGGCTGCTGCCCTCATCTTCTTGGGACAGCTGATGGTTCAGGAGGAATGGTCCTGTGAGGCTGCAGAGCTCTCAGGCCAGGTCCCCACTGGGCAGGGCACATGGAACCCATAGCCTGTGGAATGCAGGCGCTGTTGGGGTGGAGGGAATGAGCAGTCACACACGGTCACCACTCTGGTGATGGTGAGCTGGACCCTGTCTCCACTGGGGGCTCCCAGGCCTCCATGTGGCAGGAAGCGCCCCAGAGCTCAAGGGCAAGGAGCAAAGGAGAGAGTCTTGTGATGCAAGCAAGGGGACGCAAGTGGTAAAGTGACACACACTCAGGGTCACTCAAGGATTCATACAGTTTCTGTTGGCCTCAAGCCTTGGTCACTATGACAAACACAGCTGCCACCGTGGGAGTTAGCCGAGAGTGTACAAATGTGTGACCAAAGACGGGGAACCCAGTGACTTCCATGGAGGCTAGGGATGGGGGAGCTGGAATGGGTGTGTGATTTAGCATGCAGTAATTTCAGGAGCCACAGGCCGGGGCATAACTCAGCAGGACAGTGTGCGTGTGGCATGCGGGAGGCACTGGGTCCAGTACCCAGCACCCAAACCACAAACCCCAACAACAAAAGCAATGAGCAATGCCGGGACAGGTTTGGATACAATCAGGGCAGGCTGAGCAGGGCAGTGGGATTTACGAGTGGCACCACCAGGGTTATGATGGTCTGGGTCATCCAACCACCAGGCTCCCGGCTTCACATAGCTGTGCTTCCTTCCCCCTCACGTCACTGTGCAGAGCGGGTCAGCTCTGGATCGGAAAGCAGAGGTCCACACAGCCATTCAGGGGCTCAGGCCCCTCCCTTTGCTTCTCAGAGGGCTCCAAACCCTCCCTGCATCCCCTGCGTCTGGACGTGGGAGAAAGGGCAAAAGAGGTTGAGGGGGAGTTTTGGGATCTGGCCTAGAGTGGTGTCAGCCACCTCTGCCCTCTGACTTTCGCCACAGGGCTCCACGGCAGGCTAGAAAATGCCGCATTCCCACGTACTAGCAGGAGCTGGGGGCCGTACACTGTTTCAGACCCTCCCTGTGGATGCAGAGCCTTGTGCTTGGCGGGAGTTTCTAGATAGTGGGTCTGTGGCTTCCTTCAGGCCCTCAAAATGGAACCTCTAGACTGTTGAGAGCTGCTATCTGAGAGCACCAATAAAGGAAATACCCCCAGGTAGCTGTCCCAGCCCTGGCAGGGTGGTGGTGGTGGTGGTGAGGGTATCCTGGCTCACAGGGACAGCCCCTGGTTCTGTGCTCTGAAGAATGTGTCCTGTAAAGTCTCTGATTGGAATGGGGCTCTCATGAGATGCAGCTCCAGGACAGCCTATTTGGATCTGCTCACACAGGAGGGTGTCGCCTGGCCATCTTCTCACTGTAAATGAATAAAGAAACATTCTAAAGAAAAAAAGAAAAGAAGCTGCACATGGTGGAACACACCAGTAATCGCAGCACTGTGGGAGGCTGAAGCAGGAGGATTTCTAGTTTAATCCCAGCCTGGGCAATTTACCAAGACCTTGTCTCAGAATGAAAAATAAAAGATGAAGCTTAGTGCAAAGGCTCTGGGTTTGATCCCAAGTCCTGAAAAAGAAAGAAAGAAGAAAAAAAGAAAAGTAGAAAGGAAAGGGAGGACTCTTCTGATAGCAGGGCTGCGAATTTGATCAATTTGTGTGTATTTGCAGGAGAAGGCTCCCCTCAGCGGTCATAGTGGAAAATCTCATTTCTATTTGATCATGGACAACCCAGGTATGAGACTAGGGAGAGCTGGAAGCTGATATGAAAGAGATCAGCGGAGGGTTTTATATTAAGAATCTGTTTTACATTCTTTGTATGAGCAAAGAGGCTGCAAACTCTTTTCTGTTCTTTGTGGGGCATTTTGAGCTGCCTTTCCCTGGCAGTGCTTGGTCCTAGGACTGTCTTCCTCACCCATGCCCACTCTTGGATTTGTTTTGTCAGCAGCAATTCTACATATTTTGGGAAAATCATTTCACAATTAAATTATGCTTAGGCCTAGTTCTCCTGACTACAGGCCAGCTATGGCCTGTTGAGATATGACTCCAGTTTTGCCTCCGATCACAGCAAAAACCTCAATGGTCCCTTGATGCTGTGATGTTCCAGGGCAGCTGAAGACATCCCAGGGAGGAGCAGATTCCTGATCAACATGCGTTCCTCTGACCTAGGATCTTCCTGGAAAGTTCCTCACTGTTCTAGGATTGTTGAGGCTGCCCTCTGAGTCATCTGTTACTCCAGATATACTGATATACCCAACGAAGGTGGGGCAAGCTTGGGGACTTTCGTCTCTGCTGCCCGGAGCAGCATCGATCAGGTCCAAAGCACAGCTTCTTCTGTAAGTCTCATTTTCTTCCTTTGTTAATTTCGCCTGTGCTGTCATGGCTCACTGAAGGAGTTCTAGTAGCATCCCCTTCCCTGTCCCTACATGTTTGAGCAACATTTCTGCTTTGGAGGCAGCACCGGTGGGAAATCCAAGGTGAATGCCACCTTGGAAGGTCTTGTGACAGACTTCCTGAGCCCAGTGTCTCACGTTTGTCTTTCAAAAAAAAGAGGCTCCACTAGAGGAGAGCAGAGGACGGGGCCTTGACCTGAAACTTTGAGCTCACAGAGAGCTTTAACTCCCTCACTCATCTGACTAAAACATGGCCGATGAGTTGGGAGTAGGGAGGGCAGCGGTCACTGCCCTGGTGGGCTTACATTTATGGGGACACCAGCCAGGCCTGGGAAGGAGAGACTCCAGCGAGGATGGCTAAGTGGAGATCTGAGGACCAGAGGAGTTGACCTGATAACTTGGCCCAAGTAGAGGCAACCACTTCAGCAAAGCTCCAGGAGAAGAGAGCACATGGGCCTGATCCATGGATGATTTCTTCCTATTTGATGGAGGAAGCAATGGAGGCACACTTCCCAAGTTGTGGGGCCAGCCCTAAATCTCCACCTCCCCAGTGTCGTGTCAGGGGTGAGCATCTCTGCTCTGCTACTCCCCTGGGACGAGCAGCTAGCGGGGATCGTAAATTCAGCACCAGTAACGAATTAATGGGGCAGGGTTCTAGCAAGGAAGATCCTTTATTTGTAAGGAGGAAAAAGCAGAGAACAGAAAGCTGCCCTGAAGAGGTGACAGGGGGCTCCAGAAAGATGGATTCCCATGGGCCCTTTGTCTCCTGCTCCTTAAATTAGATTTTAAGGCCCCTTCCCTACCAGGCGGACACCAAGAATTTGCTACAATCAGATTTGCTTATTGGGCTCAGATCCAGTTTTGCTTATCACCTCTCCCTTTTGTTCCCTCCAGTAAAGTTTTAACTCTTTCTAGTCAGGATTATCTAGGAAACCGAATGAGCTCTTATTCTACTCTTTCCCTGTCTATAAACCCCTTCCCCCTACACAAGCAGCCCCAAGGCTCTGGACCTGAGCTTCTGTGGCTAACAGGATCAGCCCCTTTGCTCCTTTTGTCTCCCCAAGCTCACTGGAGTCTCACAGACACCTGATGGGGTGAGTTGGCAATGTTGGCTTCGATCTTCACATCCTCCTTCCTCTTGTAGGTTGAATTATGTCTCCCTAGAAGATGTGCTGGAGCCCTAACCCCTGGGATCTGTGGATTTTTTTGAGAAGAGCCTGCAGATGTAATGGAGTGGGGTTGCGGTCATAGAGGGAGCCCGCATCGGCGGACTGGTGCCCTTATGAGAAGGAAGTTTGGACACAGAGAAGGTACTGTGTGACAATGGAGGCAGAAACTGGAGTGAGGCAGCTGCAAGCAACGGAGCTCCTGGGGTCAGAGGAAGGGCTGGAAGCTGGGAAGAGGCAAAGGAGATTCCTCCCTCGAGCCTGCAGAGGGAGCGTGGGCCTGGGGACAGTGACTGCAGACTTCTGTCTCTAGCAGAGGCCCTCCTGTTGTTTTCAGCCACCCACTTTGTGGTGCTGTGCTAGGACAGCCCTAGGAAACTGGCACAGCTGCCCGCCGTGTGTTCAGCCCATCCCCTCCCTCCTTCCGCATGCCAGCAAGTGAGCCCATACTTTCCAGACCCAAAGTGAGCCCTGCAAACAGCCAGCTCAGTTCCTGGCATTGTTGTTGTGTGCTGTGGTGGAAGAGGTCTGACCACAGCATAGGCTCCGGACTCTGCATCTTAATGAAGAACAGGCTTTGAGAAGTGGGTGATGCTAGGTTCCAGTGTCATCTCTGCTATCATCTGTCAGAGGCCCCTGTCGTCAGGGCTCTGGCTGAATCTCCTCTGCTTACGCTTCCTGGAGAGAGTGCCCTTTTCCTATACCTCTACCTGGTCATTCCCTGCAGGAAGGAAATGTTCCTGTCATGGCCGATCCTCAGAATCCAACAGGGTCCTGGGGACATCGTGGCTGCTTAACCAACTGATTTTTTTCTCCCTTTCTTGCTAGTGGAACTAAGCTTTTATTCAGGTTCTGGAGGTGCAGAGAGCTGATTCTGTGTCCTAGCCCGGAGATGTACCATGCAAATAGGCTAAGTCATCCCTCCTTGCTGGTAATTGCTTTGGTTCTGGTTCTACCCCTGATGAAAGTCTTCAGGATTCAGTATGTGGGGGAAACATCTCAAAAATGTCTGCATCCTGGTTAAAAGAGGCAGGTGGGAAAAAAAACCCTTTTTCTCCTTTTTGACTTCCTGTCCGAAGATGTGATATTGGAGCCATGGTAGCCATTCTGCTCCAAGAAGGAGGAGTTTAGAGAAGCACAGAGAAGAAGTTCAGAGCCCTAACATGGCCAAGATGCTGATTTAACTAACTTTGAACCAATCCTGTATTATTTGTACAATTACTAGCCAGATATTCTGTTATGTGTAGCCTTAATCATCTTAACCAAAGGTAGAAGAAAGAAAAGAGAAAAGAAAATCAGAAAGAAAGGAAGGATAAGGAGAAAAAAAGGGAGGGAGAAAGAGGAGAAAGTCTATTTTTTCCTTTTTTTTTGGTATGGGGGATGGAAGTCAGGACCTCGTGCTTGTGAGGCAGGCAGTAGAACCACTGAGCTAAATCCCAGGCCCTTTCCATTCTTTTTATGCAGATTAACCTTCATATTCTCCAAGAAAGTCTCCCAGTTCCCCCCACTGCTTTCTCCTCCTAGGGGAATAAAGGGATTTGCAAAGTGTTAACTAGAGCTGCTGTTTGTTGGATAAATTTGAGGAGAGGTTTGGTGGCAAGGTGGGGAGATTTTTATTCCATGAATATTGAGTGTCCCGCAAGCTGTTGCCAGGGATTGAGACCTCACACTCTTAGTCTTGGAATACTGCCCAGGCCCTCACTAGTGCCAAGCACTATTCCCAGAGGTTGTGTGCACAGTGCTCTCTGTGGAGCTCAGACCTGCTGTGGAGACCAGCATGGCTATAGCTAGGGTTGTTTTGATGACAAGGAACCTCCCCTGGACAGGCTCCCTTTGCCGATCTGAGAAAGTGTATGGTTTAGGGGTCCTTTGATTACAAGCAACACAAGTCTCATTTCATTTTGGTATAAATTAAAAAGGTCTTTTCAAGCCAGGTGTAGTAGTGTAGGCCTGTAATCCCAGCACTTGGAGCATTGAGGTTCAAAGCCAACCTGGGCTATGTAGCGAGTTCAAGGCCAGCTTGGTCTACGTCTACAGACCCTATCTCAAAACAAAACAAAACAGAACAAAATGGTCTTTTCTTGGCCCAAACAATAAAGCAGTCCACCAATAGCTCCAGGAACAGAATGGTGAGGCAGTATGTAGCATTAACGCAGCTCCAGTCTTGTTTCTTTGAAATTCTTGGTTCTTCCCTCCTTTATATATTAAAATTGGTTTTGGTCTGACTTCCTTCTTGGCAGTAGAAATGGCTTCATGGGGCAACCTTTCCTTTTCACAGTGGGATATTCAGAGGGAGAGAGAGCTCCTTTGGCAGCCTCTTTCCCTGGAGTTCCCTTGGAAAGAGAGAGGAACCTTCTCTCCCAAAAGTCCCATCCATAGTTTCTCAGTACTCATTGGCTAGTTCTTAGGGGTCATGTGACCACCCTTGATCCAATCACTGTGTCCAGGGAGCAGAACATTTTGATTGACTGACACCAAGTAAGGCACACCTCCTGGGGCTGAAGTGGGTTCCAGCCTACCCTATTCTGGGCTGGTGGTGGTGGGAGAGGGAAATGGATGCTGGTTACCCAGGGGGCAGGCCTGTCATCAGGGTTCATCTCAAGCAGGTAAAAGGGACCTCCCCCCAGGGGCCAAATATGGGCTGATTTGAGAATCAAAATAGATGATAAGAATAATTGATTTATAACTCATCAAGCAAATTAGAATCTATATGTTCACTTAGATAATGAATAAATAAGGAAAAAGGAAAAGTGCAATATTCCAATCAAATGCCAATGAATACAGACACAGTCACAAAGTTTATCCCCCCAAAATACTTACTCATTTGATATTAGTTAATACACCCCTTATTAGGTAATGCGATTAGAGAAACCTGGCACACAGATGACGAAGGTTAGTGTCACCACTAATGGATCATGGCCTTCATGACATAGTACTCTGAGAGGACCATAACTCCACTGTTGTGCTGTTCCTGCCAAATATGTATAAATCAAAGGGAACACCAGACAAACCCAGACTGACATTTTACACAGTAGTGGATTTGTAGTCTTCAAAAATGTCAAGATCATAAAAGACAAGGAAGGATGGATGAATTGCTCAATGGAAGCAACTAAGGAGACACGACAACTATTCATGACACATGATATTGCTCTGAATCTGGATCAATACAGGACATAATTGGGGCAATGTCTACATTGTGACTGCAGTCCCTGATGACAATATCCTGGCAGTGATTTCCAGACTCTGATGGCTGTACTTGTGGCATATGGCAATGTCTCTCCTGTTAAGAAATACATATTAACATTTTTTGTTTTTGTTCTGAGGGAGAGGGTTGAGATAGGATCTCTATGTAGTTCAGGCTGGTCTTGAACTCTCTGTGTAGCCCAGGCTGGCCTGGAATTTGAAGAGAGCATCCTGCCTCAGCCTCCCGAGTGCTGGGATTATAGCCCTGCACCACGATGCTCAGATCACACTAACATATTAAAGGGATACTGGGTCATCACTACATAATTCAGAAACATGTTAATATGTTTGTATAAGGGTAGTATAATGAGGCACATACCACATACCTGTGGTGAAATTCTAACAGTGGAGAATCTGGTTTAAGAGTAAACAGGTGCACTTTTGCAAATGTAAATTTTCTCAAAATTTGAAATTATTTAAAAATCTGAGTAAAATGACTCACAGCATTTTGATCTTAAATGGATGGTGGTGACATTTTCTACGATGGCAATGACACTGGGATGTGTCTTATTGTTGGGAGCAATTCTACATAATTTTTGGGAAAAATCATTTCACAATTAAAATTATAGGATTTAGCTCAGGGGATTTAGCTCAGTGTGCTGCAGCCTGCCTTGCAAGCACAAGGTGCAGAATTTGAGCCCTGGTACCAATAAATAAATAAAAATAAACAAATACAATAAAAGATAAAATTGTGATTAGGCCTAGTTTTCCTGCCTACAGGCCAGCTATGGCATATTGAGACAACTAAGTTTTTGTCTCTGGTTACAGCTAAAACTGATGCTGTGATGCTCCAGGGCAGGATTACACCAGCTGAAGTCGTCCAGGGGAGGAACAAAATGTTCACCTGTTACGTCTGTTACTCCCAAGTACCAAATAAAGGTGTGGCAAGCTCAGAGCAGCATTGATCAGGCCTAAAACTCAGCTTCTTCTCCCAGTCTCATTTTTCTATAATTTCTGTCTAATGAATTAATTCGCCTTGTGCTGTCACGACTTGTAAGAGACTAGGACTTACTGAGAGCTTCTAGTAACATCCCCTTTCCCTGTTCCCTACATCTCATCACTTTCCTGGTCACTTGGAACGAGTATCTGAGGAGGAGAGCTTTACTTCAGCTCATGTTTTCAGTCCATGGTCTGCTAGCTCCAAGGTAGGAACAGGACAGCAGAGAGGCCAAGAGGAGGAAAAGCTGATCACGTCATGGCACCCAAAAAGCAGAGAGTAAAAGAAAGAGCCAGGGAGGGAGATGTTCCCTTCCAGGTCACACCCCTAGTGACCTGTCCGCTCTGTCCAGACTCTGTTTCCCAACAGCAAGTCAATTATAGCACCCTCCATGTTCTAGTCACCTTCCAAAAGCCCCACCTGAGCCCACGAGGCTCTTGGAGGACATCTAGATATATACCATAACATTCTACCCCAAAGACTCATGTACCTTTCCTTATGCAAAATGCAAATAGACCACTGCAAAGGGTTGCCTAAGTCTTACTTTTATTATTATTATTACTATTATTTGGTTTTTTGAGGCAGACTGTCGCTATGTAGTTCAGACTGGCCTTGAACTCACTATGTAGCACAGGCTGGCTTCAGACTTGAAGTGATCCTTCTGCCTCAGCTTCTGAGTGCACCACCACACCTGGCCCCTAAATCTCAATAGTTCCAGCACTACTGAAAAGTCCAAGTCCAAAGTATCCTGTGAGACTCAAGGCAAACTCTTAGTTGTAAAGAACAAAATAAAGTTACACACTGCTGACATACAACGACACAAGTTAAATTTTCCCATCCCAAAAGAGAGGAACAGGGAGATGGAAAGGAGCTGGACCAATGCAAAATTGAAACCCTGCAGGGCAAATCTTAAATCTGTAGATACCTTCCTGGCACCCTGAACAAAGACATGAACTCCAAACAGCGTGGATGGCCCTGCCTCCGTGGCACTGCCAGTTCTAGTCTGTCTTAGCCGCCTTCTTATCACTGCCACACGACACCTGACACGCACACCTCAAAGGAGGACAAGTTTATTTTGGCTCACATTTTTAGTCCATAGTCCACTAGTTTCAAGGCAGGACAGCACGGAAGAGGAGCATAGTGGAGGAAAAGCTGCTGATGCCATGATGGCCAGGAAGCAGAAAGCAAAGGAAGAGCCACTGTCACGCCCCTCCAACCAGATCCTACCTCCTAGCAGCAGGTTAGCTATACTGCCCCCATAAACTACTCACCTTCCCAAAGCCTGCTTATGCGTGAGTGAGGCTTGTGGGGGACTTCTCGATACAAACCATAACACAGCCCTCACGCCGGCTGGCTTTTCTCATTAATTGTGGCCTTTCTCAGAGATGATCCATTTTCCTGGTGGCTTCACCTTCCTGGTTCCCACTGCACTCTTGGCTTCACTCTCACAGTCTCATACGTTGTCCTCTAAAGGCACATTGCCTGGCTTTCCAGGCTTCTTCTTAAACCTGGATGTTAGCCTTCCTGACCCCACAAATTCTGCATTCGGCATGCCCATACAACTACCACCATGTTTATGATACCAAGTTCTGCTGACAACTTGAGCAGTAGCCGGTTCTCCCTGGATCATGACTGCAGAGGTCTGTGAGTACCTGGATGGCTGAACTCTGGGAAACATTTCCCTCTTCTGCCCAGAAAGGGCAGGGTGCCCTGTGGCTCTCTTCCCAATGCAAAGTCTTCCACTTTTGCAGGGTGAAGGGCAGGGTCTTTCTTTTTCCCAAAATGCCCTCAAGTCTTCTTTCCTATTGTTCTCATGTTAAATACTTGGCTTCTTTTTAATCTTTTCAGTGACCTCCACTTCAAAGCCACTAACTTTGCAGGCCTGTCCTTTCTGGGGAAATGGAAAACTTTTTTTTGTCTAAGTACCAGGGATTGAACTCAGGACATTTCACTTGCATGGCAGGTGCAGTACCACTGCACTAAATCCCCAGCCCCTGCAAAACTTTTAAAATGAGCCTTTTGCATCTGTTTCTCAGTATAAATCTTTTTTAAAAGCAGAAAGCAGTACCCATGTTTCTGAACATTGAAGTGTCTTGAAATTTTCTCCACTGGATTAATTAGTCTGCCACCCTCAATCTCAGTGTATTGCA